CACAGGAGAGGCTTGCCTATCTATCTCTCCTGTGCGATTGAGAGAGACTGGTAAAGCAAATGGAAGCAGGAAACATCCAGGGCCTTGTGGGTCTGATTGGAGCTCTCTGAGGGCTTGATCCGGACTGTGGGCCGCATGTTTGACACCCCTGCCCTACAGGGTCCCCATAAATTGGCTGTGACTTGACAGCACTTTCTATCACCATGGTTATTTAAAAATATATATATATTGAGAATGTCAGAACAATTACCTTCCACTTCTGGATCTGATGGATTGACTACGCTGAAGACCAAAGAACCATCCCCATTCTTTTTCAAGTAGCCAATCTGCACTTGAACACACATGTAAACAAAAATATACATTATTTTTATGTCGGCTGATAAGTGAACAAACACCCAAGTTTTAAAAGATCTAACCCTCACATTTTGGTCTCATGGTGAGGGTTACAGAAGTCAAGCAGGGACAGAAAAGGCAAAAAACTGAACCTTAACACTAAAATTCAGAACCTAACAAAGGTTAGTAAAATGTGAAAAAGAGGGCCAATATTAAATACTAAATGTAGAAAATATATAGAAAAAGATACATGTATTTATTAATCACAAATTTAAAAACATATATAAGGGCCCATTCACATCAAATATATAAATAATATGGCAATACACACGGGCTTTTTACTTGAGAACACTGTGGCAACACAATCAAAGAAGGCAATTCTTAGACCAAAAGTCTATACTCTAGAACCACTGGGCAAGGGATTGCACTTTTAAAGATCTCATTGGCATATTTATTGTGTGCCTGGTGGTTTTATTCTGGAACAACTTGTTTTCTGGTCCATATTGAATTTATATTTTGTATCCATTCTGATTGCATCTACATGATTGTATTACATTTATATAGCCATCCTGCTACTCAATTGTTTGACCTCTGAGGAAGGCCGATGCAGGCCGAAACACGTCAGGTCATGTTTTTAAGCCCTTGTATCTCAGCCCTAGAAACTCTACTTGGCATGGCGTGGCACCAAGGAGCCGCAGCCCCAACGCAATCACCATCATTCCTTTGGTATAAAATTGAGCTTTCCCCACTCCATTTTCCAACACAAAGGATTTCACTATAGGGCGGCACCTCTATCTCTGTGTCAACAGACTGTAAGTGTCAATGAGAGTATTCAACCAAATACCAGCAATTCAGCTATTGGGTGACAATGAACCCTTTCCTAGTTCTCTGAGCAACTTCCAGGCTGCATCATGCCTGTTCCAGCGGCCTCTGGCTAGACGTCATTAACCAAGAGGGTTAATGTCTCTGGCACAAAGAGGCGAGGCTGCTTAGAACTTGGGGCAGCCCCGTAGCTAGGGATTTTGGGGGGAGGGGGCCTTGGGGGGGCCCACCAGCTAATTGCATCAAAGGCTCCAGGGCAAGGGGGGTCTGCCTGGCGTGCACCCACACAGCCCCCACTGGAGCCTTCCTCTGAGGTGAGCCAGAATCCCAATGTTAATAGACACTAAAAGGTCTAGGAAAGCTGCCCTGTTTTTTTTTTAAAAAAGGAGAGCGGGGATCAAGCTTCCTCCCTCCCTCCTTCCCTGAGCCGACGATCTTTTCCGAAGCCTGGCACAGAAAATCCAACAGGGGGGGCGAACCGCTGCAATCCGACCAATGCGTGTGTGACTCGGTCAATCACCGGTTGCTGCTAGGTCCTAAAGAGACTCAGCTCATTGCAGATGAGCTCAAACAGGGAGATGCCGGCTCAGATCGATCACGGGGTGAGGGGGCCGGAGGGGGAGCTGAAAATCAGGGAGGGGCCCGCAAAAAGAGCAGGGGGGCCGGGCCCCACGTTAGCTACGGGCCTGACTTGGGGCAGGGTCTTTTGAGCGGTGAACCTACGGTGTCAGCGACCCTCTGAGACCTGACCTCGTTGGCCACACACAGACAGCAAAAACAGTTTTGTTAAACTTGCTGTTAAAGGGTAGCTGGTGCAGGACTCGTTGCAGAATTGTTCTGAGGACGCGGACAGAGGCCTCCACGGGAAAGCCTGCCCTTGCTGCTTTGAGAAGGGGCACAATGAGTGCCAGGGAGGGAGGAGGGGAGGGCTTGGAGATCCATGGAAATCTTAAAATCAAAATGGAGGCCTCCAGGTTGCTAAAAAATTTCAAAAACGCCGGAACCTATACAGTCGGAGCTCTACTTAGGGGATACTGGCGGTCTAATGTTCAGGTTTAAAATAAGGACGGGAAGTTGTGCAGTCTCCTTCCTTCCTAACCAATGCTTTTTTCCCCAGATGGGTCACCATGTTAGTCTGTCTGTAGCAGTAGAAAAGAGCAAGAGTCCAGGAGCACCTGGAAGACTAACACAACGTGTGGCAGGGGAGGAGCTTTCCGTATCTGAAGAAGCGAGCAGCAACTCAGGAAAGCTAGTCTTTAAGGAGCTACTGGACTCTCGGTCTTTCCAACGTTTTTATGTTTTGTATGCATTTTAACTCTGTTTTTAACTGTTTTAAAAATTCTTTTCATTATGTCTATTGAGGAGGTTGGTTTTAATGGTTTTATAATGTAATTTTTATCTGGTATGTTGAAAATTGTTAGCCGCCTCGGCAGCCCTTGTAAGGGCGGAAAGGCGTGATATAATCTTTGTAAATAAATAACTGAAACCTCCATAGGACGGCAGTGGGGATCAAGGGGCCAGACCTTGCTGTTTGGAAGACATCGGCTGATCCTGTCCCGAGCCTCGTCTGCTGCGTGTTCCACCAAAGCCAGGACGTGCTCTTCCGCTGTGCTGTCTGTCAAGCTGCAGGCATTCCCCTCCGGTTCAAATATACAACTGTAACAAAGAGCCAGTCGTACAAGTAAATAGGGAGGCAGAGCTCCCCCCCCCGCCCCCCCAATAACAGCAAGGCAAGAGATTTGAGTGAGGGCTGGCTCCTGTCTACATAGGTGAGGTGGGCAGGGCTCTTTCTTTTTTTTAGCCAAAGCGTTTGTTAAATACTGAGGTTTGTTTAATTGGTTAGCTGCGGTGGCTCAAGTGGTCAAGACGATGAATTGCAGGCTGTGGAAGGTCAGTAGTTCGGCAGTTCGAGATCCGGGTGCTGCAAGACGGAGTGAGCTCCCGTCTCTAGTTCCAGCTCCTGCCAACCTAGCAGTTCGAAAGCAAGAAATTGCAAGTAGATAAATAGGTACCCCTTCGGTGGGAAGGTAACAGCGTTCCGTGCACCTTGGTGTTTAGTCATGCCGGCCACATGACCACGGAAACGTCTTCGGACAGCGCTGGCTCTTCGGCTTTGAAACAGAGATGAGGACCGCAACCCTAGAGTCGGACTCGACTGGCTTTCGAGCAAGGGAACCTTTACCTTTACCGTTGAGGGAACCTTTACCTTTACTGTTGAATAATTTTATTGCTGCATATAATATTCATCTACCACTCTTTAACTAGTGATGAATACTATTTTGTCATTAAGTACTTTATTCTGCTGATAATTTCTTAGTTTGATTTTACATGGATGATTTATTTTGATTTATTTTTTCCCTTTTTTTGAGCTTTCATTAACTGTGGGCATTTCTACAGAGTGTCTGCTGGCTGACTTAGCTGGTTTTATTCCATAAACCGCCTTGTACTTTTGTTGCAACCATTCCTGTAATATATATGTTTAAGAAATAAATAGATGCAACTATTCTCCAGGATCAACCAGCATTTCTGGTTTGCTATAAGGGGCCTCGATATACATGTCGCTTAAGATTGCAAATATGGATGGCATGTATTTTACTATTCAGCGCGCGCACACAAAAAATTGTTTGCATTTAAGGAGAATGCCAGACTTTCTCAGCTGGATAAGACCATGGTCTATCTGGCCCACCATTCTGTGTCCAACAGCAGCACCTCTGATCATGTACAAAGAGGCTCGAAAAAGAGATCTCCTGGTTATTCCTACTCTCTCTGGAACAGGCTTGCCCAGCCAGGCAAGAAGCGCTTGTCTGGGATTTGAACCCAAGATCTTTTGCACCCAAAGTGAGGACTGTATCCCTAGGTCAAGAAGCCTCACGTTTTAAGCCTTAACAGTGCAGAGTCATGTAGCACTATTTAGCTGCAAACCAGCACGTTTAGTTAAAAAGAACGGCATAATGGGAAATGAGCAGTTTAAATTGGTCTTGATTTATATCAATTGACCTTGCTCAAGGGGGGAATTGGCTTCTGCCTGCTTCAGAGAAGACCCAGAAGTGCTTGGGAGAGAAAACTAAGACTGCAATCCTGTGGGTTCAACTGTTCCTAGACTGGAGTAACTCTGCATAGGATTCCACTGCAAGTCATTCATCACTGACGGTTCCTTGGAACATTCCGTCACAGAACGTGAAAGCTGCACAACTAGGACCCTTTGCCCGACCGTGTTTTAAAAATTCACAGAATCGGACCCTTGCCTGGTCAGTGGGCGACTACACAAGCATGCCTGAGTCTCTGATGTACATAGCTTTGCTCTGCTGAATGTTATCATAGCCGCTTATGCCTTCTGCCCCAAAGCCCCATGTAGCACCTGCTAGCTGAGTCTCAATCTGTCAACAAGGATCCTCCTCTGACATTCCTGAGAAGGAGAGATTGAGGCAGGCCTGTGTGAATGTTGATAGCTGCGCTTTTGGAACACTGTGAAGTGGTACCTCCCCCGCGAAGGCTATGGGAGACTTTCGCTATTCTTATTTCCCATGCCCTCAGGAGAGTAACAACTGACAAACATTCTCACTGATCTAATTGGAACTGTATTAACCTGCCTAGTTACTATGTAATGCTGACATATGTATGAGCACTGGACCAAAGGTCTTGTAGTTTCCAACTTTGAACTATTTGTCAGTTCTGTCAAAGCGTTTGACTTGTTTGCAACTTTGCCGACTTTCTACAATAAAGCCAATTAAAGGACTTATTGCGTCTGAGAGTTACTACCCTGTCTGACAGGCTACAAGTGTCAACACATGAAGCTGCCTTATACTGAATCAGACCCTTGGTCCATCAAAGTCAGTATCGTCTATTCAGACTGGCAGCAGATCTCCAGAGTCTCAAGGAGAGATCTTTCACATCTCCAACTACCTGGTCCTTTTAACCAGAGATGCCAGGGACTGAACCTGGGACCTTCTGCATGCCAAGGAGATGCTCTACCATTGAGCCACGGCCCCTCGCCATCCAACTGTAGCCTAGCCCCACCCAAGTGCGTCATAACTTGCACAGGGTGGGATGCCTTGTGTCCATTTCTTTTCTGTGATTCCTGTTTCTCCTTAAAGCATTCCCAAATTACTTTGCTTCTTCTGAATGGCAAGATAGTCAGCCACCAGGCAACTGTCCTTAGATGCTTAGAAAATCCCATTAAAAGGGTAACTTTCACTGTATTCTTACAAAAAAAAGGAATCAAAATATGAAGCTATTTGACTGATGGTTAAAAAAAATCAAATCTGTAAAACAGGACACACACCCCCCCAAGCCCAGTATAAGCAACTTCCCTTCTGGAAAGCATTTTAGAACACACAAGAGCCAATTTCACACTGACGTGGCCAGTTCTGCTCAGAACAGCAGATGAACCCCACAGCAGCAAAACACCGGATTGTCAAATAGCATCACAGTTTGGAAGCTGTCTGTCTAAAGACTAGCCGACAACCGACCAAGCGGCTGAACAGTTATTTGAAAGACAATACAAAGAATGCACACACACACACCAACCTGCAAATTAAGCATCTTGGAAAACGTGCAACTACAATGGGGGGGGAAATGAGGTTTCTCAAACATGCAGATGTGCTCTGAGTCAGAGTTGGAAGAACCCAAAGGCCAAATACTACTCTAGAACAGGATGGCTTCCCAAACTGTTCTGAATGCAGCCATGCAAACTGCTAGTTTTTTGAAGCAAGAAAAATAAAATGAACAAAAGTACTGGCTTCTGTATTAACTGTCTATTCATTAACAGCAAGAAAGCAACAAAAGAATTACCCTTAAAAGTGCTAAAAAAAGCCGGCGAAAAATAAAACATTTGTTGGTTTTGAAACTGTGTTTTGGGAGCATCCTGAGGTTCCTCAGAGATTTAGGATTAGGGTAGTTTCAGAGGGGAGCCATGTCGGTCTGAACAGCTGGATTCAAGTTTCATTGGAGCCAAAAATCCTTAAAAAAAAAATCCTAAATATAAAATACACATTGATGGGGTCTGAACTGGCAGAGACTGAACAAGAAAGAGATCTTGGAGTTGTAGTAGATAACTCACTGAAAATGTCGAGACAGTGTGTGACTGCAATAAAAAAGGCCAATGCTATGCTGGGGATTATTAGGAAGGGTATTGAAAACAGATCAGCCAATATCATAATGCCCCTATATAAATCAATGGTGAGACCTCATTTGGAATACTGTGTGCAGTTCTGGGCACCACACCTTAAAAAGGATATTATAGCTTTGGAAAAAGTGCAGAAAAGGGCAACTCAAAAGATAAAAGGGTTGGAACACTTTCCCTATGAGGAAAGGTTAAAGCACTTAGGGCTCTTTAGCTTGGAGAAAAGACGACTGAGGGGTGACATGATCGAGGTTTATAAGATTATGCATGGGAAAGAGCAGGTAAAGAAAGAGGTACTTTTCTCCCTTTCTCACAATACAAGAACTCGTGGGCACTCCATGAAACTGCAGAGCGGTCGGGTTAGAACGGATAAAAGGAAGTACTTCTTCACCCAAAGAGTGATTAACACATGGAATTCACTGCCACAGGAAGTGGTGGGTGCTACAAGCATGGACGGCTTCAAAAGGGAATTAGATAAGCATATGGAGCAGAGGTCCATCAGTGGCTATTAGCCACAAGGTATAGCTAGGGGCTCTGGGGCAAGTGATGCTCTGTCTCTTTAGAGGCCAACAAGATTTTTTTGGGGTATGAGCTTCTGAGAGTCAACAGTCACTTCATCAGTCTCTGACAAAGGACGCACTGACCAAAAGCTCACACCCCAAAATATTTGTTGGTCTCTAGGGAGCTACTGGACTCGAACCCAGCTGGGATCAGGGGTTAGGAGCTTAGAAGATCAACTGGCTCACCTGCGCCAGTCTTCCCCTACACTACGCAGCCACAACCGAGCACTTGATACGCTCCAAGGGGAGCTTGGAGTGCAGGCAGGAGAACAATGAAGATGAACAGGTCAACGCTTCATGTGAAGAGACTGTGCACCCTCAAAGAGACCCCCAGGGTCTTTGTCAATGCTCTGGAGTCCCGCAGCAGAGACGCGGGGACTCCTTACCCCACAAGGATATGCCAAAAAAAAAAGGGGGAACCACGAAGTCTGCAAATCTCATTCTCAAACCAATGAGGGGAAAGAGGCGCCATCGAGCAGAGCGCAAAAGCCCCCCAGACATGTGCTTCTGGTTTTTTTTACCTAATCACTTCTTTACTTGGCTTTTTGGATTTCTTGGTGGTCTCTACATTCACGGGAACCACTTCGGGCACAGGCTCCTCGACAGCCGTGTCTTCATCGCCCAAGAGCGCTGCCTGCTGAGAAAAATCCATGTCCTGCATAAACGACATGCTGCGCTTCAAAGCTAACAGCCGTTCCTAGAATTAGAAAGGACAGAGCAGCAGGGACTTTACACCTTTCCCTCATAGCCAAGGTGCTATGACGATGGGATGGGATGGGGGTGGCCATGGCGTGGCACCTAAAAGCTACTGCTGCGATGGGGATGCAACATGAAGTCGGTCATGGCAGTGCGAGACCTAGAAAGGAAATGACACGTGCCGAGAGAGCCACCTACCTGCAGGTGTGACTGGCCGCAAGGAAGGCTACAAGCAGTCGCTCACACAACAAATCGACCTTCTCAAACATGTTTTTATATTTTCATAGTGTTTTAAAAATAGGTCCTGTATGCTTTCCATTCTTCTCTTCGGCACCTTTCTTTATATGTTTGGGAGGAGTGGAAGAAAAGAGGGGGCTTGTGTGCTGTTCAGAGGGATGGGAGGCTAGTGGGGCTCTTGGGCAGTATGAGATAAATCATAAAACATCTGAACAGGTCACAGCGGGAGGGACTGTGGATCAGCGGCAGAGCATCTGGTAGAACGGGATGCCCTGTAATAGCTCATTCTCATGACTGTGCACTAATCTTTGTTTGAAAGATTGAGGCAGATAATCAGTGTCTACGTTTAATACATAAATAACTGCCCTCAAAATGATCAGCTACTAGGGAGAGGTTGTGGTTCAGTGGCAGAGCATCTGCTTGGCATGCAAAAGGTCCCAGGTTCAATCCCCGGAATCTCCAGTTAAAGAGACCAGGTAGGTGAGGTGAATGACCTCTGCCTGAGACCTTGGAGAGCAGCTGCCGGTCTGAGTAGACAATACTGACATTGATGGACTAAGGGTCTGATGCAAGACAAGGCAGCTTCATGTAGGGGAGGGGGCTATGGTTCAGTGGCAGAGCATCTTGGCATGCAGAAGGTCCCAGGTTCAATCCCCAGCATCTCCAGTTAAGGATCAGGTAGGAGGTGATGGATGGGATAGACCTCTGCCTGAGACCCTGGAGAGCTGCTGCCAGTCTTGAGTTGACGTGGCTGACCTAGAAGGACTGAGGGTCTGATGCAGTAGGAGCTTGATGCGTTCATGTATTTACTTTATTTGTAGTCCACCTTTCTCAATGAGACCCGAGGCAGATTACATTCTGTAAATCAATGCAGTATATGGGGGAGGAAAACTAGTCCCATGCATTGCCTTGTTTACAGGAAGGTAATGAAAAGAAAAGAAGTGTTGGCATTCCAAAGCGATTGGTTTACTTATTTAGAAAATTTAGTCACAAAACTCCTTTCAACAAGTTTAAAAATAATATTTCTTGATTGGAAGCACGTTTTCCCAACCAGAAACAGTACTTCATAGCAATGTTCCCTCTAAGCTGTGGAGTCCTGTTAGCAAAAATTCTACTTTGTGAGCGACTGGCATTAAAGTTGTGAGCAGGAGATTTGGCTACTGCATAAATTAGATTGCTCTGGAGCCATCCTTCTTGAACTAAGACAAAAATGTGTGAGAGGAGGCTAAAAAACTGTGAGCCAGCTCACACTAACTCGGCTTAGAGGGAACATTGCAAGTTCATAGTAGGGTTTATTTGCTCCGAAAGAGGAATGATTTATCATGGAAATCCCAGCCAGCCTTTCAGTACAGTCACAGCTCGGCATACGCCACCATTCTGTGGGTGCCCAGAAATCAGCTTGTTGGGAATGTTGGCTTTCATTTAATAAATGTGCAGCTGGTTGTAAAAATATGCTTGCTAGTAGGTCCAATGTTCCCTCTAAGCTGTGGAGTCTTGTGAGCAAAAATTCTAATTCGTGAGCTACTGGCATTAAAATTGTGAAGAAATGATTTGGGTACTGCATAAATTAGATTGCTCTGGAGCCATCCTTCCTGAGCTAAGATAAAAATCCGTGAGCTGGAGGCTAAAAAACTGTGAGCTAGCTCACACTAACTCAGCTTAGAGGGAACACTGGTCCACACCTGGGGAACTCCTGAAGTCGGGCAGTGGGGGGGGGGGTGACTGCTACAGCGGGGAGTGGGCTTCAGTGCTCCACAGTTCATGGATCCTTCTTATAACCAGCAGAAGCAGAATATACTATGCAAAAATAACAGAACTCTTGCAAGGGTGCTTAATATATAAACGCAGTAGAGTTCTGTTTTTCCTGGTGCGGAACTTGGATTTTTTTTGCTTTGGTAGAGCCGAGTATACGCAACCCTGAATATCGCTGCCATAAAGGGCACTAAAGACGGATGGATGAAGTAATGCTTTGCTCACTACAACAGTTTTTTTAACGTGTATGATTGGTCTCGTGCTTGCGTGCTCTTTTAGCTGTCTTACTTTGCTCATCATCTTGAAGCCCGTGTGGAGGATCTTCTTGGCCAGTTTGTAGTACACGGTATCCGGTCTGTTGTACGTCATTGCGTTGTCACACATCAGTTTAAAGTCTGCCTGGAAGACACAATGCAGCATTGCCATGGTTTCAGATGCTAACTGTATCTGGAGATGCTCAGTCACCACAATGTCACTAAATTTGGGAAGAATGGGAAGTCAGGCTGATGAAGAAAGACCAGTTAAGCCCCAGATGACCTGTGATCTGCTTAGTTCATTTCTTTTTGGCCAGGTTTTAGGCCTGGTTGTTACACAACAGCTGACAAAGTGGTAAATCTGTGCCTGGACAAGACTGCAGGTGGGAAAATATCCTCACAAAAAATAGCATTCCACACCCTTATTCTATGTGGAAGAAATTCTTTTGTATGGAGGAGCAGTCCATATAAGAGTCTCCAGGGCAAAGCCACTTCTTGGCACAAGGGCACAGGAGAGACAGACAGCTTTAAAAACACATCTGATGTGCACTTGCAATTTTACAGATATTCATATGATGTTGAACCCCTTCCTGTAATATAATGTTAGAGTGGCCCCTAAGTTTGAAAATATGCTATCCGCTAATTTGCAAAAGAAGCATGCACGAACAGGCAGAACTATTTACAGGATCTTATGTAAAGTCATTTATTTCTGTGTTACTGAACATAAGAATTATCATTACTGAAAGTGTACCACATTGCTATTCATTCACCTTGAATTCCGTTACTGACTTGTATTCATTGTTTGCAATTTTATCTTTCATAGTGCCAAAGTCCATGGGATGCTTTATTATCATGGAATAGCCAGGAGCAATGGCATCTGTGACTGGGAAAGCAAAAAACCCATGAGGATCTTTCCTAAAAAAATAAAGAAACAGAAACACAGGAATTAAATGTTTAATACTATGCTCGGGAATAATATTACAGGCTTTTTTCCTCAAAAGCCATTTCATGTCAACTATAGAACATCAAGCATGTTTCAGAGAAAGAGAAGTATTCCTGAGTTCCACTTTTGGAGAGACAAATTCTTGTGTATTAAAAACACGCAGTAAGTCCTGTCTGAAAAGTCACCTACAATCGACATCCGAAATCAACGTAGATGGCTTGATCCTATGCCTGTGAAATTTCAAAGCAATACTTCTGCCCAATCAGGTGCCTCGTGAATATCTCAAACAGGAACAAACTCCAAGAGTTCACATGTGAGCACACAAAATATCTGCCCAGTTTTGGAAAGGCATTAATCTAAATAATTGCATTACTTCATCCACCTCAAAGTCAAAATGAATGTTTGGAAACAGCAAATCACAGCTTCTACTGGATCTAAGTCAGAAACTGCACATATCAGCAAACCTGTCTTTTGAATGCAGGTCTGCCCCAACGGAGCTGCGGTGGCTCAAGTGGTTAAGACGCTGAACTGCAGGCTGTGGAAGGTCAGTAGTTCAGCAGTTCAAGACTCGAGTTGCCGCATGACGGAGTGAGCTCCCGTCTCTAGTTCCAGCTGCTGCCAACCTAGCAGTTCGAAAGCAAGAAATTGCAAGTAGATAAATAGGTACCACTTTGGTGGGAAGGTAACAGCATTCCATGTGCTTTGGTGTTTAGTCATGCCGGCCACATGACCATGGAAACGTCTTCGGACAGCGCCAGCTCTTCGGCTTTGAAATGGAGATGAGCACCGCAACCCTAGAGTCGGACTCGACCGACTTTCGAACAAGGGAACCTTTACCTTTACCTGCCCCAACCATGGAAAAGCGGGGGTGGCGGAGGGAAGGTTAAATCCAATTTGAAGAGCAAAAGGGTCTGCCAATGAGGGCACTTCCCCCAACCCCCCACGGCCTGTTCTCCCAGGCACTTCTCTGTCATTTGGACCCTCACATCTGTTTTGTTCTTTAAAAAAATAGAGCTCCTCACCCATTTTATACATGAGCAGAGCAGAGGTGTATTTAAGAGACAGTTTTGCTACCATAACGTCTACATTCAGACTGTGTCAGAGAACAAAATCATGAATCAACCTAAAACACAATTTTCCTAAACATTAAAGCCACACGAGATCACACACCTAGCTCTGAAAATTCACCTCGGCAGTCAACAGCCTCACCTTTGTAACTGGCGAAGAAAATGTTCCAATAACTGCTGGATAGGCGTGCTCTCGTTTTCTGCTACAATCCAACACAAGGAAAAACAGACAATTAATTCTTTGACAGCTCTTTTGAACTTCTGCCTAACACAGGTTCATCATACCTGTATGATGTGCTACTCTGGAGATGCATGCAAATGTTTGTGGCTCTGCAAATCAGCATGTACATTCCATTTATGACTGCCAGGACAGAGGATCGACAGCAGTCCCCCGAGTCTCGAGTGTGGGTGTTGCCAGAAGAGCTGAACGCTGATCAAATCTGTGTCACAAGTTGTTTCAAAGAGATGTGGAGAGGAGCGGTGTACACTAGCAAGATTATCGTTTTGTTTATTGGGAAGGGCACGCGCATCATTAAATATCCGGAGTATTGTTATCACATTAGAAAGTTCTTCCAGAAATACTGGAATGGTACTCCTGGTATTTAATTAAAATTATAATCATGCCCTTTCTGACTTTCCTATGCAGAATTAAAATGAGGGGGAGAAAGGCCCCCGACTGATCGGCAACACATGGTCCCTTTAAATTTTAAAAGGCCATTGAAACTCTGAAACTTACCATTTAAAGGTCCCATGGGCCACCAATCAGCCATAGAATGCTGAAAAGAAATGGGTTGATCGGACCTCTGAGCTCTGGAAGCCAATTCGATCGCCCATACGAAATAAACAGCCCTTTAGTCCACAGGGTCTTTAATGTCTATGGGTGGTACACCAAGCCTCCGGAGGACTCAGAGGAGCCCCCCATGCACATACTGGGCGGGCTCAGCCTTAAAGGTGCTGGCCTGGAACATAGCCCCAGAACCCTCAGCAGGGTCAGAAATAGCCCGAAAATCTACTTTGGCACAGGCTCTCACTCCCCAAAAAACAAATAAAATAAAAATGAATAAATAAATAGGTAAGTCCAGTGCCAGTTACAGACATTTTCCTATGGGGGCAGACCTGCCCTCCAAAGGAACGCTAGGTCTACCAACCGTTGTTTAGAGCACACCCACCCCGCAGTTAGTTTTAACTTTAACAAGAACATAAGAGATGCCAATGTTGGATCAGGCCAAAGGCCCATCTGTATGACACAGTGGCCAGAAATACCAGTGCCATCAGGAGGTCCACCAGTGGGGCCAGAACATTAGAAGCCCTCCCACTGTTGACCCCCCCAAGCAACCAAGATCACTTGCCCCAGAGCCCCTATCTATACCTTGTGGCTAATAGCCACTGATGGACCTCTGCTCCATATGCTTATCTAATTCCCTTTTGAAGCCTTCCATGCTTGTAGCCGCCACCACCTCCTGTGGCAGTGAATTCCATGTCTTAATCACTCTTTGGGTGAAGAAGGACTTCCTTTTATCCGTTCTAACCCGACTGCTCAGCAATTTCATGGAGTGCCCACGAGTTCTTGTATTGTGAGAAAGGGAGAAAAGTACCTCTTTCTTGTCCTGCTCTTTCCCATGCATAATCTTATAAACCTCAATCATGTCACCCCTCAGTCGTTGTTCTCCAAGCTAAAGAGCCCTAAGCGCCTTAACCTTTCCTCATAGGGAAAGTGTTCCAACCCTTTTATCATTCGAATAAATAACTTTAAAGGGCCGTTATTTTCATTGGGGTAAACCTGGCCTTTCCCTTGAAAATAACGACCACTTAAAGGGTAGATGCGCCACTGACAGGATGTCCTATTCTCACATTATCGGGAGGGGTAATAATGGAATCGTGAATCATGTTGGGGAGTCAACAGTGGTATTGGATATTGCCACTCAAATCTCCAAAATACTGGGCATTCGGTTGGCGATATCCCCTAGCGGAGATAGCTGTGCAACATGGCAGATGCCAGTATGAACAGATGAGTAACTGTACCAAGCTTATGTAGCCAAGACTCAAGGCAATAGGAGCACAGAGATCATAAGGCAGCTTGCATCCTGGATATAGCAGAGTTACGCTGAAGGTGACTTGCTCCTCCACATCTCTTTTTGAACTTTATTGGCGGAGACTGCTATCCACATTCACTGCAATCTTGCCCAATGCCTTATATAAGATCCTCACGTATCAAAAATATAGAGAAGTTTTCAGGAAAGCTTTACAGAAAGGCTAAAGGATGGTGGATCAGTATTTATGATGTAAAAAGACCAAGTAAAAGACAGAAATGGTTCCAGCTTAAGTATTTTCTGAAGAGTGTTTTGAACTATTGTTTATGTATCTCAGAACTCTTAACACTCTGAAGGAACTACATCATGCAATGGAGAACTCACTATATTCATTACTGATCCTGTTTCTTTGCACAGGAACATATTTTGATTGGCCCGCCTGAAGATGGAAAGAGAACACTGATAAAAGATGAATATGTGTTCCATGTGAAAAAATGGTACCCCTGAGAATCAAAAGGGGCAGAGAAAAATAAAGGATGTAAACAGTTTATTTGTTGTTGTTCAGTCGCACAGTCGAGTCCGACTCTTCGCGACCCCATGGACCTGATCAGGCCAGGCCTTCCGGTCTTCCACCGTCCTCTGAAGTTTGCTCAACTTCATGTTCGTCGCATCTATGACACTGTCTAACCATCTCATCCTTCGCCGTCCCCGTCTTCTTTGACCTTCAATCTTTCCCAGCATCAGGGTCTTCTCCAGGGAGTGCTCCCTTCTCATTGGGTGGCCAAAGTATTTGAGCTTCAGTTTCATTATCTGGCCTTCCAGGGAACAGTCAGGGTTGATTTCTTTTAGGATTGACTGTATGGTATGTCAGCATTTTCTCACAGACATTATTTTTCTGTTTTAACCCATCCAAGGAGTACAGGGTGGTATACATGCTACCTTCCCTCATTTGATCCTGAAAACAACCTGTGAGGTAGAACTCAGCACACTATTGTGGGGCGAATCGATGTTAAGAACATAAGAAAAGCCAATGTTGGATAAGGCCAATGGCCCATCCAGTCCATCACTCTGTCACACAGTGGTCAAAAATACCAGGTGCCATCAGGAGGTCCATCAGTGGGGCCAGGACACTAGAAGCCCTCCCACTGTTGCCCCCCCCCAAGCACCAAGAAGACAGAGCATCACTTGCCCCAGCCTGAGACTTCCTATCTATACCTTGTGGCTAATAGCCACGAATGGACCTCTGCTCCATATGTTTATCCAATTCCCCCTTGAAGCCATCCATGCTTGTAGCCGTCGCCACCTCCTGTGGCAGTGAATTCCATGTGATAATCACTCTTTGGGTGAAGAAGTCCTTCCTTTTATCTGTTCTAACCTGACTGCTCAGCAATTTCATTGAGTGCCCACGAGTTCTTGTATTGTGATGTTATGTTATAAACACATCTATTTTTAATTACTCACCAGGCTGAGTTCTACAGGCCCGGACTGGACGATCAGGAGGTGGATCAACCTCTACTTTTTTCCCAGGATCAAAATCATCGGTCTCACCCTCTGTGTCACACAGTTCCTTCTCTCTTTTTCTTTTCTTCTCTTCCTGATACCAAGAGAGGCAGAAATATGAAAGCTGGTCAATAGTAGCTTGTACTGGCAAACACACAAGACTGCATATTCACATCAAATCTTCCTTAAAACGAGTAAGGACTCCGTTAATCTGACAAGTTCAGGAGGACAGATCCACCCCCCCCCCCCCGGTGGCTCTATTGAAATGCCACCGTAAACTCTGGCTTGTTTACCTTAGTAAGGCTGTTCACATTATCCCTGATTAATCTATAAAACATACATACTGTTGTCAAACTCTGTCTTTAGTTTGCCATAATGGTAACGGGGAAATTCCTGCGCGCACACACGCATGTGTGTGTGAATGGCTGAGTGTGTCAACTGCTGCTCTGCTTTCTATCGTAGGTGTCATAACTCTTTCCAAGATACCTCCCTGGTCTAGGGACGACCTTGAACCACACTGTGCCAGCTTGCTATTATAGATAAAGAAACAGTATATTCTCAGGTGGGAGGGAGGCAGTAGGCACAAATGCTAGGCGGGATAGTTAAGATCTGTGATTGGATGCATGGAAGGGGGGGCCTTGCTTGAACTGTCTATATCTTTGAATTCTCCCACCAGAACCTCAGCTCTGACGTGGTACTGATTTAACCTGGAACATGATTATTTCTCAATAAACAAATCACTGCAAAGATAGTGTTGTTGAGAGTAACTTTGCCCAGGAGTCTGGCAACTGTTGGGCATCAGGGAGGCTCAAACCCAGAAATGGGGGCCTTGCTCTGCCAGCTATCTGATCTGCATACTTGCCAGAACATCAGGCCCAACCTTTTCTGCACCACAACACCCTTCCCAACCTGGCCAGTCGAGGAACCACACCCTTTCGAGAAGGATCTAATGGTAGTTTCTGAGGTCAGCTGACTGAAGGGTCCAATGAGCGCAAGTCCTGGAAGTATAAGGCCGTTCCCATCAGGCTGGGTCTTTCGGTTTGAGCAATTGGTTGGAAATGTAAACCCTGCCTCATTCCTGCAGGATCCTGACCACTGCCTGTGCCCAGGGCACACTGTGATTCCACAGAGGTCTGGGGGCCGCTCTAGACAAAGCCGATCATCAGCAACCTTCCCTTTTCTTCTTCTGTACGGTTGCTTCACTGCATTTCCTTAACAATTTTTTATTCTGGAAAAAGAATGAATAAAGCTTGAGAAGAAGCCCATGATCGTGACCAGGGCCAATCAGTTGTTCTTTCATGGGATATAAAAGTGGCTTGAAGGGGGAGTTTTCTTTATGAGGAGAAAAGTATGGCATCCATTATGGACACAGTTGGGCTGTGGACTTAGGGTTGCCAAATAGATTTGACTCACCGGCGGGGGAGGCTCCTTTCCATCCGGGAGTCTTCCGTGTGTGTGTGCGCGCGCGCTTCGCGCGCCACCGGAGCGTCACCGGAAGTGACGTCACACGCTGGGCGGGGCCACACCATTTGAGGGGAAAACAAAGAGTGCCCCAGCGTGCGACGTCACTTCCGGGTGACGCGCAAGCGGGGATGGGGTTTCCCCCGGGCCCCGATTCCGGCGCGCCGGGAATCGGGGCTCCGAAACGGGGGATTCCCCGACCCCCGGCTGCATTTGGCAGCCCTATGTGGACTACTTCTGACTAGTAACTTCTACTGCGTACCTTGGCAAACCGAAGAAAGGCACATGCTTAAGTGAAGAGCTTTTGTCCAACTGCCTTTTAAATTTCTCCTTGGGAGAAGCTGAATCTGTCCTGCTTGGGGAGGTATCACGAGCAGGCAGGAGAGGTTTGGAAAGGTGACAGAAAACGAGAGGGGCATGTCGTGAGAAAGCACCAGCACAATGCTCTTTGAGTAGAGATGTGAAGGCCTAGAAAAAAACCGGGAAAATTCGGAAAAAACCCGTTTTTTCCCCATTTTTTCCTGAAGCCTTTTTGTTTTTTTTTCGAAAAATTGAAAAAAGAAAAGAAAAAAATTGATTATGGAATGTTTTATTTTAACATGATGAATAATATATTTTAAGACAAGGTGTTCAAATATTTTCCAAATCATTTCTAATATATATATATATATATGGTATCAGATTGATCTAATTTCTGTGCACTGAGGACAAGCAAGTCCTAGGTTAAAAACTGAACTCTCCAATGCAAGAACAAGATGCATTTCTTCCTTTAGGAGGTGCGATTGTCAGAAGAAAATAAAAAAGTTTAAGCTTTGTTTTTGCATGTGGATGGGTATTCTGTTTGTAATAATTGTTTGGATACACTATATTTTTAATATGCTAGTTGTGATAATTTCATGCCAAGTAAAAATGTCCATAGTCATATTTTATGTTCCTAAAGTAACAGAATGACTTTCAATCTAGGAAAGACAAAAAAAAAGCTAATGTAGCATTTTTTTCAATTTTTCCAAAACTTTCCGTTTTTTTCTGGGTGGAAAACCGGGGTTTTTTCCGAGCTTCAAAATTTCCAGAAATTTTACATCTCTATCTTTGAGCAGTTAATTTTTTTAGCTGTAGTGTGTAACCAACTCTGTATCCTGAAGGCTGAGAGGAACACTGCTACTAAGCAAGCGAGGATCTCTGAAGTTGGACATATCATGAAACTATAATAAATAATAATTGCAACAGACATACAAGGTACAAAGTAGGATTCGGAATCCCAGTTTAGCACCACCAACAAACCATAATTTGATGGGAAGTTGTGAGAAAACTGGAGTTTCATAAAGCCATGGTACATTATCAGTAATTAATTGTGATGCTGAAATGTAGTCGTCATGGGCAAAATAAACTCCGAATGCAAAGAATTAAAGGGCATTTATAGCTCAAGCAAGGCATACAGACATTTCCTAGATAACCACACCTGTTCAAAAGGCAAATAATTACAGAAGGAGATGGCAGAAAGACCTAATTTTATCAATGCAGCAAACCTGCATCGGAATGTATCAATCATGCTCCTCTATGCAAAAAAAAAAAAAAAAATGCCACATAAAATAAACCAGGGACAAGAATTCTAACCTAGTCTTCTTGACAAGTCATTGGCTACATGTACCGAATTGTTTGTATGAAGGGACATTCTATCGTGTGAAGCTCTCCTCTTACCCTCTTCTACTCAGCAAGAAGTGGTACAGACCAAATTGAAGTCTACCAGTGGGTGCTAAACCAAAAGCATTTAGATGTACTATAAAAAAAAAATCTTAAGAGGATGTTGTTAACAATGGAAAAAAGGAGATGTGAAAAATATTCATGTCTAGGCAAAACAAAAAACAGAATTCTTAGTTTAGTAAAAAAAAACACTGTAGAACATGAAGGTTATTAGAAACTAGAAAATACCTAGCACTAATGTTCTGAAAAGTATCTAGGGACAAAAGTCATCAGTAGGCCCATCCCATGCTAATTTCCTAGGAATTAAGTTCCACCAAGCTCATTGGATGACAACGTACATAAAACCTTTGGCTTCGAATACACAATCTTTCACTGCTACCAGAAGGAGTCAGGAACAAGCAACATAGGCTGTGGTTACACGGCACGAGTACCGCAATTTGTTCCTGATGTAGATTTGATCAGGGGTATTTTTAAGCGGGTTCAGATGATCACACATCCCTCACCCAACCGCTTGCATTGCACGACAATGCTCCAGGCACCATTCAGATAGCCATGCTGCACATTTTTCTTTAAAAAAATTCTTTGCACATGTGCACATGCACACATATGCACACAATGGTGAAAGCCGGGGGGGGGGGACTACCGGAAGATCAGATGACCTAATCGCAATCAATGCAAGAGATGGCTGTCCAGATCGGCAAAATCGTGGATTCAAAGCACAAATACCCGGAAAGTACTTGATTTTTCTCAGCGTCGGAAAACTCACTAGGGAACCAGGAGGATCGTGCGAGTGAGGCCACTTCAGTGTGGGAGACGGATGCAGGCGTCTGAGCAGCAGTTTTAAATGCGAGAGGGAACAGCGGTGAAACCCGATCAAAATGACCGTGTGACCACGGCCTTATGATTTGTACTTACAGTTTCTTTTTAAGAGGTAACTTTAAAAGTTTATTTTGCAACACAACCAATATGGGAAAGGAGATCTTTCCCAGTGAAGGTTGGAGCCTTAAATGACTATGTCTCCCCACAAAAAGTTAAGCTGTCAAGTCTCAGCCAATTTATGGTGACCCCACAGGGTTTTCAAGGCAAGAGATGTCCAGAGGTGGTTTGCCATTGCCTGCCTCTGCATAGCAACCCTGGACTTTCTTGGAGCTCTCCCATCCAAATGTTTGACAGGGCCTCTCAATCTGACAGGATTGGGCTAGCCTGGGCTATCCATGTCAGCGCATGGTCTATATCAATCATTCCTTATGCTGGATTGTCAAGATTCTGCTAATCTGGAATTTCAACACAAAAGGCAGTTGATGATCAACTTCCCTGTTGAAAGTTTGACAAAATTGGTCATGAAGCTGTTTACCTTTCTTTTCCGTCTCTCCTCATCATCAAGATGCTTTTCTTTCTCTTTATCTGACTTCTTTTTCTTCTTCTTCTTCTTTTCCTTATGTCGCTCTCGCTCGTGGTCCGATCGGTCATCGTAATAACTGGAATCATGTCCTGATCCTGAAAGTTCAGTCACTTCACTGCCTCCGACTTTCAGTACCAGTTTCAATGGCTTTTCCAGGGGTTTATCCACATAATCTAAAAGTATAAAGTAAAGATATTAATAAAAGATTTCTATCCCCACATTCTCCAGCATGTTATTTAGCCCAGTCACTGCTTGCTAATACTGTTAAAAGAAATCCTATTCAGAGAAGATCTAAAGATATGAATTTGAGTTGCTTGAAGGACAGCATTCCCACTTACGGAAACTCAACAAATTACCGTAATTGAAATAACTGCAATGGAAAAGAGGCTGAAAACATACTCAAGCATCAACAGTTTAGACACTGGGGGAGGGGTCCCCTATTAAAAGATGCCTACTTTCCCCTGGTAGGCCTCCAGAACCTTTAATAGTTCTGTGACATCCAAAAATAAAAACGAATGTGACAGGTTTTTTTCCTCTCCAGTCTCTGCATCTGCAGGATGTGAAATTCATCACATTTGATTCCTGATCTTTCTCCAGAGGAGCTCCAGATCCAAAGATTCATCCACTACGAAAAACGGCTGCTCCCCAAAACTGCAGCCTGTTGAATTTCTGCCTTTCATGCAGCTGTGACGGGGCCAACATTTGGCTCTGAACTGCTTCACACAAAACTCTTTCGAGGCGCGCATCCAAAACATTACAGGTGAGTGGGACATACAGAGTCAAGCCGCTCTGAGAGCTGGGACTGGCCGAGGCTTATGAGAGGACAGCAGACCGCTGGCTTTCCTTGCACAGGAGGGATGTGGGACAGAAAGCACCACACAGGGACGACGAAATGGGAAGGGGGAAGCCCAGAACCTTCCATTCCTCTAAACAATCAATCCACCTTTTCCTGTTTAGAGGGAACACTGCTTGCAAGCTGAATTTAATAAATAAATCAATGATAAATAACGGCGGCACCGAGCAGAAAGCGGCGCCGAGGAAGGGTCGCCTCAGGGGCGGCGCGCGCGCTCGTGGGCGAAGGGGGGGAGGAGCCCACGCGGGAGCGCGCATCCCTCCTCCTCCTCCTCCTCCTCGTCGTCGCCGGACGGGCAGACTCCGTTTAGGCTTCGCGGCTCTCCCCAGCGGGGGCCCGAAGCGGCCGGCGCCCTTCTCCTCTCTTCCCTTTCACAACAGCCCTGCAGGGTCGGTTAGGGGGGGGGATTCGAGCCCGGCTCCCGCGGCTCCCCGCCTGAGGCCGTCCCGTCTCGCCCCCCAGTTCCTGATGAGCACCAACTCCCTGACCACCTGCTGCGAGACCAGCGGCCGGACTCTGGCCGACTCGGGGGCGGCGGCGGCGGCGGCCTCGGCCCAGGCGCCGGTCTACTGCCCGGTCTACGAGAGCCGGCTGCTGGCCACGGCCCGCCACGAGCTCAACTCGGCCGCCGCCCTGGGCGTCTACGGGAGCCCCTACGCCGGCAGCCAGGGCTACGGCAACTACGTCGCCTACGGGAGCGAGGCCTCCGCCTTCTACTCGCTGGTAAGTCCGCCGCCGGCGGGGGGGGGGCGGGGGGCGGGCCGGCTTGCCCAGAAGGGTTTGCGGGGGGGCCC